AAGACTCATGTCCAGAACATTTCTATCTCTAGGGAATGCTTTCTGAATAACCACCAATTCTGGCTTCTTCTAGCCTAATGCAATATGCATTTAGGTACAAATGAGTACAGGGAAGCATGTTTCTAAATTTTTCTATAAGGGAGAACAAACCTTATAGTATATCATAAGATTTGCTGATGGAAATACTTAACAATAAAAATTATAATTTAGTTTACCCATTTACTACAACCTATCCTGTAATTATTATGAGATACTGTCTCACATTTGCTTTGGCAAATGTTATTCTTAATAAATATGTAACAGAGAAGTAATGTTTTCTATGGAAAATCTGTATTTCAAAATTTTTACATATTTGTATTTATGACATGACATAAATTACAGTGCTTTTTATGTTGGTTTAGATGATTTTATTTTTAGTGGAAGAAGAAATAGAATTAGTAAGGGTATGACTGTGCTTTTGGAAAACATTTACATCATAACAATCTTTTCAGAGAACTGTAATTCAACTTAGACTGGATAGGAGTAATACATTTTGCTCAGATCTAGGAAATATTGATAAATTCTACAAAACTTGCTCAGAGTCTTCAATTTAAAAAAATCTACTGTAAAAAAGCATAAAACTAAAAAAAAATTCTACTGTATCTTCAGTCATTTCTAATGTTTTAATTTTTAATTTTTTGTGGAGTAACAGATTTATTTAAAGAAATTTACTTAAAGAACTGTGAGAGGAGGCATAGAGAAAAAACATGTTTAAGATAGAACATGGGCTCTGAGTTCTGGAAAAAGCTCATCTCTAATATTTTTATATATCTCCCTTCATTTTGATTAATTCTGCTTTTTTGGCTTATCTTGGTAGATACTACAAAACTGACTTGTTCATAGTCTTTTAACTTTATTTTGTATATATTATTAACTATTTTACTCTATTGTTTTCTGTAGTTTTTCTATAATTGTTGTACTAAGTCATATTAGATAATTAATTCATTTATAACTACAGTGACCATAAATTTCCCTCTACAAATTCTTTAGACAGCATCTTGTTTTTTTTTTTTTTGTTTGTTTGTTTTTTGCTTTTTGGGTCATTCCCAGCTATGCACAGGGGTTACGCCTGGCTCTGCACTCAGGAATTACTCCTAGCAGTACTCAGGGGACCATATGGGATGCTGGGAATCGAACCTGGGTAGACCACGAGCAAGGCAAGTGCCCTATCCACTGTATTGTCGCTCCAGCCCTAGACAGCATCTTATAAAATTTTCTATGTTCTGTTTTCACCATCCCTGAGTGTAGGCAATTTATATTTTAATTTAAAATTCATTTTGATTCAACAGTTACATGTCTTTTCAACTTCAATGTATATTTCTTATTATTTTCTGCTTTTATTGATAAATTAATTACATTCTGATAATAAAAAATATTTAAATTATAGTTACGCTTTGAAAATTTTAAAGCTTGTTCTATATGATCTCTATAAAATATTATGCTTGAGAAAGGTTTATATTGTAAGATCTTTGGGTAAAATGTTCCATGCATGCATATTAAATCAAGTCTATACTTTGCAAATGACACATATTAATTATATGTATAGATTTAGGAATTACATACATAAACTTTTTCTGTATGCTTAGTTATTTTTTTCCTTATTATATGAAATACAGTTAGTTGCTCCATTTTTGGCTTGGTTTTCTCTCAGTATTAGGGTGATTTATCACATCTTTAAATTTTCCCATTAATGCTTTAGATTTGTGTGTGTGTGTGTGTGTGTGTGTGTGTGTGTGTGTGCTAGACATGAAACCCAGGGCCTCAAACATGCAAGGCAAGTGCCCTAACAGTGAGCTATATCTGGGCCTCTAAAAAAATGCATTTTGAGATTCTATCACACTTTTATAATTTTAGGATTTTATTTAACTTGTGAATTACAACTTCTGGTATTATTTCATATTGAATTTTCTCATATTCTGTAACTTCTCTGGTAATGATTGTTTTGATGTAAAGTCAGGTTTTCACTTTCACATTTCACTTTCTTTGCTAATGGTGGATTTATTTTTATTTATCCACACTAGGATTAAGTACGCTTAGTAACTCTAAGAGTTCATACCTCAATAAAGGTTTGGAAAAATCTCTTGCCATTTTTTTATATTCCACTTTCTGTCTTCAATTAGTCATATATTGGACATTTAATGTCCTTAATCTGTCAAAAAGCCCATATTTTGGGACATTTTGTTAGTCTATGTAAATTACTTAGCTCTGTCTAGTAATAATTAACTTAGCTGAACGTGCTATTATACCTAATGAAATATTTAAATATTCAGTTATTTGCTTTTGTTTTCTTTGGGGTCGTATGGTGGTAGCTGGGCAATCCCCCAGCCCCTGTGTACAGGACAAGCACTTCACCTCCTACATTATGCTTCCTATCCTAAAAAATTTTTTTTTGAAGTGGAGAGTTTGGGCCACATCCTATAATGCTCAGGGGCTACTCCTAGATCTGTTTTGGGGGAACATGTATTACTGGGGATTAAATTTGATTTCCTGCACTCAGCCTATTTAGCCATCTCTATGACCCTTAATTTAAAAAATATAAAGTCTCTCTATAATATTTGTTTTTAACAGTATTTTATGATAGTAGCTAACTCCTTTGATAGCCTATATTTATAATTAATATTAGTATATATAGTATATTATATATAGTATATAAAGGTAAAAGGTAAAGGCCCTCCCGTTGATCGTCGATTTGCTCGAGCGGGCCCAGTAACGTCTCCATTGGAGACTTTGTTGTTACTGTGTCTGGCATATCGAATACGTCACGGGGAGCTTGCCAGGCTCTTCGAGAGGGGCGGAGGAATCGAACTCAGGTCGGCCATGTTGGCTGCTTGTAAGGCGAACGCCCTACCACTGTGCTATCACTCCAGCCCATATAGTATATATATAATATAAATTATATATTTATAATTTATATTAGTTTAATTTCATGTAGATTTATTTCCATTACTTTCTGCTTCTAATTTTTCCTCATGTTGCTTTATTTACATATGTGTGTCATAATTTTGATGTGTAAACTAATGTTTGGCTGTGTTCTTTCCCCTATAGAAATTCTGTGAAATATATACTGGTCATGTTTATGCCTCAGGAATAGAAGCTGAGCTAGAAAGTTTATGCCTTTGTTTCTGTAAAGTGCCTCAGAGAGCTACTAACCCAGTATGACTTATGTTAAACTACGCCACTTGGCATTTCCTCACTTTTGAATACGAAATACTCAAGCAAAAACCTTTTTATTTATTCCACAAAAAGTTCAGGCTTAGATTAATTTCCTGTTGGACTCCTATTTGGGTAGTCAGATTTATTTTTGTGTTTCACCTTTTCACTGAAGGTGTAAACCTTTCAGACTTCACTCAATGGAAGTACTCTGCTCTATTCCAACTCCTATTAAATTCAAGACTTTGTGTCTAATTCTTGTTTTGTCACCAAAATAAGTGCTGTAGTTCTTGGGTTATATGTCTTTTGTTCATTTTAGGTTACTAGGATAAATTCAAATTCTATTACATATGCTACTTCTTTTTTCACCCCCAGTGTAACTGGCATTGTAATGGAAGGCATTGGGGGTTACTTGGATTGTTCTACTGCATAAATTCTACATATGCATATACAGGTGATATGTCCTTTTATTTTAATTTTTTTTTAAGTCTTAATCACATCTGGAAGTGCTCAGGGCTTTCTCCTTGCTCTGTGCTCCGAGCTCATTCCCGTCAGTGCTGAGGGACCATATATGATACTGGGGATCCAACCAGAGTCAGCAGCTGACAAGACAGTTGCCTAAATTCCTATACAATCTCTCTGGCTTAATAATTCTTTTAAATGAGGAAATTTTTTCATATGACAAAGATAAAATATCAAAGTAATGGATATGGTTTAGTGGTAGAACACAAGTGCCAGGCTCTGTTTTCAGTTCATGGCACTGCAAAAAAATTTAAAATAACAGAGAAGGTGGAGAGATAGTACAGCAGATAGAGTGCAGAGAGTGTGCTTGCCTTGCACATGGGGAACCTGGGTTCAGTGTCAGGAGACTATTTTATCCCCTGAGCTCTACCAGGAGTGATTTCTGCATGTAGAGCCAGGAGTAAACCCTGAGCACTTTCAGGTGTGGTCCCCAAACAAGACAAAGTCACAGATATTAAACCATTTTGCAGAGATTGCAATTGCTTAAGATAATGATAGACCGATACTTTATGTGAAATAACTAGGAACTTTGGGGGTACTTTTATTATGCCACTCAACTTTTATTTATTTTTTTGGGTTTTGAACCACATCCTACTGGGTATTGCCAGGGACTACTCAATTAATACTGTGTTGTTGATGATGGGATACTATTAAATTTACACCTGGTATTGCTTCAGAGGACATGTGGAGACAGGGATCAAACTCAGGGCCTAATAGGTAAAATATAGCATGAATATTCTGTAAACTCCTCAGTAGAAGAAACTAATGATATGGAAGTGGAATTTTTGTATATTTGTACTATTTATATGTATTTATATATTTTTGCTTTCCCCTAGAAATTTAAAATCTATGAAGAACCAGAGTTTTTGTGTGTTTTGTTTATCAATATATTTCAATATAATTCAATATATATCAATATATTGCTGACAACTAAATAGCACTCATTAAATAGCAGGTGCTTAAAATTATTTAGGATATGAATAAGTATTTTTTTATTTCCTAGCTTATAAATCATAGTGATAATTTATGTTCCTTTATTTTCTTACCTTGATAGATTAGTATAAATAAAACATGTGTAGTCCAAGTATATTGATTTATATGAAAGTCACCATTTATGGAATATCACCAATTACCATTTTTTGAAAGCTTACAGTGACCTAGCTTTTAAATGTCTCTAAATTTTCTTCTAAAGCAAATCTGTTACCAAGTCCACCCACAATTTTTCTCATACAATATCTCCGAGAAGAATAGAAAATATACAACATTGGGGATTTGGAAAAAGTTCATACCTCATTTTTTTCTTTGAGTTTCGTGATCATAACAATCACAGGACTGTCTTCCTGCCAAACCATCTGCCAGAAATCATTCACGGTGTTGATCATGGGTCCCTGTGTTGCGATGAAGGCCTTCTCTTGACCACTGTAGCCCTGGTTTAAGTAGGAGAAAAAATACTGACTTTGAGGTTTAGGCTTTGCACTACAGTTTGGTTTAGGCAAAGAGCTCCAGAAAAAAAAAAGTGGTTCTGCTAGCCTCAAAACAGATTTTGGCAGTCTCATTGATTCTAGTGACACAATTCATGGGTTCCTCTTCGGCAAGACAAACCTTATTTATGGTATTGAGGCTCATAACACTCTGTCCTTACCCATACACCCCAAGTAGAGCCTGTAGCAGCCAATTCACAGGAGAGGGAGATTGACTGTAAAAGACTATCAACACTGATAATAGCACTGTAGCACTGTCCTCCCACTGTTCATCGATTTGCTTGAGTGGGCACCAGTAACATCTCTATCATGATACTTGTTGTTACTGTTTTTGGCATATTGAATACATCACGGGGAGCTTGCCAGATTTTTGCCATATAGGCGGGATACACCCAGTAGCTTGCCCGGCTCTCTGAGAGGGATGGGGGAATTGAACCTAGGTCGGACGTGTGCAAGACAAACACCCTACCCACTGACTGTGCTATCGTTCCAGCCCAACACTGATAATAACAAGAACAATTAATATCAATGTGATACAGCAACAACAACAACAAAAGCCTTATGAGTAATTGAAGCAAATCATAATTGAGCTACCCTGAGGGGGAAAAATGAAAATCACAATTCCAAATTGTACTTAGTATAAATATTTATTACTTACCCTAATATAATTAGCATTAATATAGGTGCTCAACGAATCCGTTACATTTTTTGGTTTTAAACACACTCTGCTGAGAGGATCTAATGATAGAATTGGGAAAGAAGACATTAAACAGATTTTTACTTTTTAAAGTTTGATTAAATGTAAATTACCAGTACACAGTACACCATTTAATGGTTGTATTGACTTTTTTTTTGTATTGACTTTAAAACCATGTTTATCACTGTGTTTGTGTGTGTTTATTTGTCTTTTGATTTATATTTATTGAGGGGTATTTGGGCCCATCTTGATCCCTGATTCTGATATAAATCTTACCCATAGGCCAAGAGGAGGAGTTTAACTTCACATTTTTTGTGGACTTCTGATTGCATTTCTCATTCATACTCCTTTTCTTTAAATTAAAATTTTTTAATTGAATCACAGTGAGATACACAATTACAAAGTTGTTCATGATTGAGGTCAAGTCATATAATGTTCCAACAACTGTCCCTTCACCAGTATACATTTATCACCACTGATGTCCTCAGTTTCCCTCCTACCATGCTCCTACTCCACCTACCTCTATGATAGACACCCCCCTATCTCTCTCTCTCTCTCTCGCTCTTTTTCTCTCTCTCTCTCAGATTTTGGATTTACAAAAGTTTCCCTGATTCCCTGCTGTGCATTCTCTTCAGAAATGAGCCACGGAGAATGCTACAAAAGCCTTCATCTTTTTCTAACTTATCTCATCACTTAGATCTCAACTGGCAATGCATTACCACATCCTGTAGGCCTCTTGATTTCCCCAGATGGATTTATTAGGTATCAGACACTGTGCTATCAGTGTGAAGAGAATGGTGGGGCAAGTCAGGGAATGGATGGGATTATAACAAAAAAAAATGCTTTCATTCATGAAGTCAGTATATTCATACAATATTATTTGACTCTCTACTAGATGTGAAACACTATTTTCAAAAATTTGAGATCTGTTGCCATTAAATTTTCATAAATCTTTAATAATGGTAACAAACATAAATTGCATTCTTTCCTTCATTTTTTAAGTAGAAAACCTAGAACAGACAGGTTGAATAATTTGCCCCAGTATGTACAGTTAGTATGGAATCAGGTTGTAAAATCATATACTCTAACTCATGAGGTTCCTTCATCACTATGGTCTGCTTCTTCCCTAATGCGGAAGGAGGCTCATAAACTTACAATTACAATACAATGTACTGTTACAGTGACTTCTCAATTTCATTCTTGAATTAACAAGTTCAGTGCTTTCAGCTTCCTTTTTTCTGTGGAATGTGTTATAAAAGCTAGAGTGCAACAAAGAAACACCATTTCCTCCCTTATTCCCATCTCTTGCACTAATCTCGTTCAGGTAATCTCAGACTTCCGGACCAAACCAAGAAAAATGAAAGAAGAGGCAAGGTAGGAAATTCTAGAGGAAGAAAGTGTTAGAAAGTGTTAGAAACAATATGTGAATAGGAGTGGGAGATATTAAAAAATCTGACTGGACTTAGAACATTTTTTTAAAAAAAGATTGATTTTTAAATTTGCCTTACAAGTAATTGGCATTAAAGACCTGTAGCTAATTTAACGTAATTAAAATACAATTTAAATGAAAAGTTAATCTTCTAAGTGTATTAGTTCTGTCTTTTAATGATGCCTTGCCACTTGTGTCGACTGGTCATCACACTGGGATGTATCCATTATCATAGGAAGTTTTAGTGAACAGTGCTGAGCTTGACAGTGCAAAATGGCGATTATATAGAAATCCACTTTTCAGACCACGTGAGAATTATAAGAGAAAAAAGACTTTTGAACACCTTACTTTAGGTAATATCTTATTGTCTTAGTGAATGATTCAATTACTTACATCTCTACCTAGTTCTATGCATTAATAAACCACAATAGGAAATATAACTTAGGAAGAAACACTACCAGATCTTAAAGTTTTAATATAAAACAGGGAGTGATTAGTAGTCTTTCATTTTATTATTTTTATATTAAATTTTAATATGAACATTACTTGATTTTTTGCTTCATATTTGCACAAGTAGACTACACAGAATAAATATACTAAATATATAATTACTATATTTCACTGCTGGGCTGGAGTGGTAGCACAGAAGTAGGGCATTTGCCTTGAGCACTACCAGCCCAGCTGAGCCTGTTTGGATTCCATCGCCCCTCTTCGAGAGCCCAGCAAGACACCAAGAGTATCTCGCCCGCACGGCAAAGCCTGGCAAGCTACCCGTGACATATTCAACATGCCAAACACAGTAAAAACAAGTCTCAAAATGGAGACATTACTGGGCCTGCTCAAGCAAATCGATGAACAACAGAAGGATAGTGCTACAGTGTTATATTTCACTATTGTGCATATAATTTCATATTGACATATCAGTTTTTCTCCCATATATTTTGTGATTTAAATTACTCTTTCAGATGAAGTAATGAAATTTACATACAAGTGGTACTACATGGAAAGTATTATGTTAAGCAAAATGACTCAGAAAGAAAGGGATAGACATAGAAAGATTGCATTCATCTGGGAAACATAAAGTAACAAAATAGGAGACTAACACCCAAGAATGGCCAAGATTAATACCAGGAATTTTACTCCATGGCTTGGAGGCCAACCACATGTGCTAGGGGAAAAGGGAGCTCAGAGAAGGGAACACCAAATAAAGGGTATTGGGAGGATCCTCCCAGGATGGGAGAAGCATGCTGAAAGTAGACTATAGACCAAACATGATTGTTACCCATTGCCTCTTTTGCAAACCACAACACCCAATAAGAGAGAGAGAACAAAAGGAACAAAAGGGAATGCCCTGCCACAGAGGCAGGGTAGGATGGGAGGGATGGGGGTTAAGAGGGAAACTGGAATCCGTGGTGGTGGGAAATGGGCACTGGTGGAGGGATGGGTATTTGATCATTGTATAATTGAAACCCAAGCACAAAAATTTCTTACTACTCTTGCATGAAAATGGAGAATGTTATGTCTTACCAGGGAGTCAATAGTCTAAGTCTGCAACTGTACTTCATGATGTCTCACTAATAAAAATTTTTAAAAAATTGCTCTTTCATCACAAGCATTTGTTTATGTTATGGCATAGTTTGATAGAAAGTTGACCTTAGCACTGTGATCCACTCTTTAGAATGCAGTCAGGTTCACACTGTCCCTTGAGAAAGTACTTGAATTTAATCAATTTTGGCCATCCATGATTCTGTTTCAAAGCATCTTCAAATTATACAAGACATATAAGTAAGCATTTACGCTTAAGAGTTAATTGTAGGTGAAAACAACAAAAGCAATTTAGTTATTTAAAATACTAATCATCTTCTAATGTTATTTTATGTAGCGTTTCAAGCTTGTCTAATCTTACAGTCTTAAGTAAACCATAAAGAGGTCCAAAAATAGTACAATGGATAGGGCATTTGCATTGCATGTGGGGGCCCAGGTTTGATCTCGAGCATACCATATGATACCCCAAACAATGCCAGGAGTGATTCCTGAATGCAGAGTCCTGAGTAATTCCTGAGCATCACTGTATATGGTCCAAGAACCTTCCCCCCCGCCCCGGCAAAAAAAGGAAAAAAAATTGAAAGAAAAGAAAATGCTCAATCCAAGCACCATATTCTAAAATAAATAAATAAACCATAAAGAATGGCTTTGTATAATCACTTTGAACTCTTTTGCTATTATTTTCAATCAGTGGTGTACCATGTCCAAGTTGTATTTACTAAACTAGATTTTGTGCAACAGAGAGTAGGTGTGGTATTCAGGCCAAAGACATTTTCAATAGAAAATTCATCATTTGCAACATCAGTTGTCAGCACAGGTGCCCTGGTTCAAGTGATCCACCCAGTTCTGGGAATGGAAATGCTGACACCGGACTATGAGGCAGTTGCCTGATATCATCTGTGCAGGAAATAGAGAAAACTGAATTTATAAATAATCCTAACAATTTCCACGTCCTTCTGAGATGACATGGCTAAATATAATTACAACGGGTCTATATGCCCTTATTGCTATGTTTGTTAAGTTTTTGATGAAAAATCTTAATATAGATTAAAGGAGCACCAGTTCTTTCACATAGCGTTTTTCCTTCTCTTCAACCATTGTAGTTATAAAATATCTATCAACAGTGACTAGATGATCCTAACTAAAGAGATTTAATTATACTTCCAGCTAAAATATGTTCCAGAGTGCTCCTAGTTTCACCAAAAAGGGAAGTCACAACACATCATTAACAATAATTCTTACTACTCTTACATGAAAATGGAGACTGTTATGTCTTACCAGGGAGTCAATAGTCTAAATTAAGACATCCAGGACTTCAGTACCCAATTCTTCTATGTCTTTATGGCTCTATCTCTCTGGAGACAGACATCTTACGATGTTTATGGATTTTTACCAGAACTGTAATCATATGTTTTCTCAGTGATTCGCTTAGCAATAGGACTTTTAGGCCATACCCAACAGTGCTCAGGAGTTATTTCTGGCACTTAGTGATCACTCATTGCGGTGCTCTGGAGACCATATGCAGTACCAGGGACTGAAACAGGGTCAGCCTTGTGCAAGGCCAGCACCTTAACCCTGTATTATATTTTTGGCCCCTACTATAAAGTTTTTTTATAGCAGCTTTATTGGTAAATACTCCACATGTTAAATAATTTACCAGCTTAGAGTATGCTAACACAGAAGTTGTTTTATTTTAACCTTTTTCAGAATTTATTTTTCTTCTCTTTGTTTCTTGATTGCTTTTCCTTGAAGGATGGGCTCAGTGTCCATACTCGGCTGGCACTGTGGGACTGGCTGACTGTGCTGTGATCAGGCTCTGCTGCTCACGCCCAGCAGTGCTGTGGTTGGCCTTGGCTGAGCTTGGGAGTCATCAGAGTTAGATACAGCAGTGTTTGGGGACTCTGCATATACACCCCGCAGTGCTGGGTAGGTAGGACATGTGGTAATGGGGACTGAACTCTGGACTTCTGCCTGGAAGACAGCTACACTACCAACTTGAGTGATCTTCCTGCCCCTCTCCTTTATCTCAAGAGTTGCACAATTATTAGTACATCAATTTATAAGCTTTTCTTGATTCCTCACTTGATCTCTACATCCATTAGCATTTTCCATGCCCTCGAATGGAAGACAGTCATGAATGCAGTTACTATCTTTATGATTGCTTGTTCAGATGATGCTTAAAATTGAAATTATGCAATTAAGTCATCTTTTGTGGTGGGGTTTAATTTAGCCAAACTTTCTCAGAGTTCTTTTATGTTGAAGAACTCATCAGTACCTCATTCCTCTTCCTGTGAAAAAATATTTCATTGAATGGATATATACCTAATTTTTGTTATTCACTAATCAGTTCATGGAAATTTACATTCTTGGCAGTTTGTGGGCAATTATGAATAATGCTAACAGTTTGGTTTAAGCAACTGTTTGCCATTTCTCTTGGATATTACATCTAGGAGTAGAATGTTTAGGTCATATAGTAACTCTTGGTTTTACTATTTGAGAAACTGCCAAATTATTTTCCTCAGTAACTGCATAATTCTACATCCTTAGTAGCAATGTTTAAAGAATGTACCACTTGTTATACATCCTTGCCAACACTTTTGTTGTCATCTTGTTATAACCAGGTGGATGTAAAGTGACATCTCACTGTGGTTTTTATTCCTGGTAGCTAGTGAATGACGCAGATCATCTATTCATGTCCTGTCATTTGTACATCTCCTGTGGGGTTATGTCTCTTCAAGTCTTTTCCCATTTAAAAAAATCTTCCTTTTGATTTTTGAGCTACATCTGCAGTGCTCAGAGCTTATTCCTGGCTCTGCACTCACAAGATAGCTCACTCCTGGTGGTGCTTGGTGACTATATATGGTGCCAGGGATTGAATCTGGGTCAGTCATGTGCAAGACAGGTACCCTATATCATTCCAGTCCCTGCTTTGCCTGCTTTGAAATTGGACTATTCCTATTTTTTATTATTTAGTTATGAGTTATTTTTTAAAAGTTATGTACAAGTCCCTTATTAGATGTATACTTTACAAATACTTTCTCCCATTTTGTGAGTTGTCTATTTTCTGGATGGTATTCTTTGAAGGACAAAGATTCTTAATTTGATGAAGTTAAGCTTATCTAACTTATTTTTACTTACACTTTTGGTGTCAAATATAACAATTATTGACTAATTCAAGGTCTTGAAGATTTGTATCTGTTCCATACAAGGAGTTATAGAATGTCAGCTCTGATTAATTTTGAGTTAATATTTGTATGAGGAGTGAGGCAGAGCCTAACTTCACTTTTTGCTCATGGATATTCATGTGTCTCAGCCATTTATTAGATAGTCTACCCTTTCCCTTTGAATTAAATTTAAAAATCAATTGACCATCATGTGTGACACATAAGAGCTTTAGAACCCTTTGTCTACTGGATTTGTGAGATCATTATAGTTCTAAAAGATAGTTATTAACCTCACATTTAAGTTCACGTGTATTTGTAACTACAAAGTTTGAATATGAGGATATTGTGAGGCTGTAAATAAGTGAGGTGGGGTGAATGGGAGAAGCTTGTACTTTACAATGCAAACTATTTGCTCCAGGAAACTTACTTGGCAAAATAGTCTTATAGCGATTTTTAGTTCCATGACGAGGAATGTCAATTTCTTTGGGATCCACGAAGTTCATTGGAATTTCCTACAAAAATACATGATATCAAATTAGTGTATCTAATGCTGCCACAAAGAAAATCTTCACAGAAAGGCATCTGCTCCAGAGCACTATTGAACTTAAAATTCATTTTAAAATAGCAGATTACCACCTGGCTGGCTAACACCCTTACTTTCATAAACATATCATTGCCTCCTGACAATCTGATTCTACGAAATGACTCTCAGTTAGAAAGTTCTATTCTTCACACAATTATTAAAGAGACATATATAACTTTGGCCTGTATTTTTTGTTTGTTGTTTTTGAGGAGAGTGAGATTTTTTAAAATCCTGTTCTGAAATTAGCAGGAACCGGAAACACTGACAGTTTTTTAAATATATTTTTAAGAAAATTTTCTCTAAATTTTTATGAAAACCCAATATCGAAAGCTTCACTCAGGTGGATGCTCTTTTAACATTAATTGTGACTTGTTTAAGATGATTGAATTCCTCTCCAAATAGCCAACATAAAGGGATCCTATAGCTGTTGTTCCACTGATGATGGCAGGCTGCTCTTTGATATTTAGGGTTTACGATATACAATACATATCTGCCTATGGTTGTAAGTGCAGTATTTGTAGTGTATTTGTGCCGGACAATGTTTTATTTCATTTTATAAGCACTGTAGCACTGTAGTACTATCCTCCCGTTGTTCATTGATTTGCTCGAGCGGGCACTAGTAACCGTCTCCATTGTGAGACGTTGTTACTGTTTTTGGCATATTGAATACGCCATGGGCAGGCTCTGCTGTGTGTGGGGGATGTTCTCGGTAGCTTGCCAGACTTTCCGAGAGGGACGCAGGAATAGAACCTGGGTCAGCTATGTGCAAGGCAAACACTCTATCTGCCATGATATTGCTCCAGCACCCAAACTTTATGGTGTGTTCCTCCAGTGGTTGCAGAGGGAAGACTTAGAATGAAAGTGACTCTGGGGAAATGTATTATACCCAAAGTCCAGAGAGCTTGCAGCTGACAGAGAGAAAGCAAACAGTATACCAAAGTCTTCAGAAAGATCCAAATGATTATTTTAAAGTAGATTACATAAAATGAGTTTTTTTTAATTTAAAAAAACATATTTTGAAAATTGTGTTTTTTAAATTTACAAAAGGTGACTTATATAAGGTTACTATGCCATAAAATAACTTATTTTAGATCATGTAAATATTTTTATTAAACCTTCTCCAGTGAAAAAGAGTTCAGCCTAATATTCATGGAAATAAAACAATTATGTTAAAATTTTCTCATGTTTTAAATAAATGAAAAATAAAATAGCTGAGATTGTTCTCATTTTTAGTCAATATGAAGATTGGAGAAATGTTTTATTGTTATTATTATTATTATTATTATATTATGAATTTGAACTTGGTCCACAAAAAGGAGTAAGATTGTTCTGAAGGGTGAGGGACTTTCCAAGCAGTTCTCAGGGAACCCTGAAGTCACTCCTGGTGTACTTGGCTCCTCTGTGCTTGCTGAATGCTTCAGTGCTTAGGCTGCTGCCCAGACCCGGGGGTACTTGTACCCCGGGAACCCTGTAGTACTCTGGAGTTCTGGAAATAGATCTTGTACATGCTAGGTATGTCTCCAGCCCTTTCAACTATTTTCCCAGTCCCAGGTAATATATTTCTTAACATAATTTCCTGAAATTGCATTTTTAAAAAATATTTACTATATTTATTCCTACTCTAACTCCAACTAAATGTTCAAATCGCTGTTTTAGGTTCTAGCAGAAGCAAAATGAACTGAATGTTCAATAGATACCACACGTCCATGGCATGACTGCTAATTTTAAGCAGGCCAATCTCTCTTGGAGAAGCCATTAAGTAGATGTCTTTGCTCCTTTTCCACACCCCCCCCAACTTTTATGACATACACTGACATTATCTTCCAGCATTACATCTCTTCCTTTTTCTAAAGACCCTTTATGGGCCTTTTCATTACACTCAGAAACATGTCACATTGGATCCATCTTGGAGAATAAAGCAGCGCTCTCTATAGTTCTAGGAAAGGAATACTAAGTGCACCTTAGGATTGCTGTGGTGATATTTGACTATTCTTTCCTCTTTCGAGATCTCATTTTCTTCACACGTAAAAGTACAAGCACTATAAAGCCTAACATTTTAAAATGCAGGTTTGCATTTTGAACCGATCCTAGAATCTCTCATTTATTGTATAAAGCAGATATGACAAGATATACAACTGATTTAAGGATCAAGGTGGTTCCCCCATCCCCACTCCCCACTCCCTGGGTTCAGAGGGCACGCCATGTCTATGTTCAGGACTTACTCCTAGCTCTGTGCTCAGGATTACTCTAGGTGGACTCAGGGGTTTGTTAAGGAATAAACCCAGATCAGCGGATGCAAGACAAGTGCCCTGCCTACTGTGCTATAGCTTTAGTCCCACAAAAGGGAATACTCCTCTTGGATAACAGTTAGATCCAAGAAGGTCTATTCTGTCTCCATGCTCTCTGGACAGAAATAGGTTTTGTGAATTGTTGTCTCCAGCAACAGTGACAGATAATTAACATTTTCTGTCCACACTCCATCTTTTCCCCTTTGCTCCTCATTTAATTAATAAGACTTTATTTCATTGCAAAGTAAAATTGAACAAACAAGGAAAACCAGGGAATTATTCCTTTCTTCTCAAACTCTTTTCTTGACTTCTTCACCCAATTCATCTACGCTACAGTTGCCTGTAGATTTTCTCCAGTTTTCTCTCTTCCTTTATCAATAATACTATATAGGGACTGGAGCAATAGCAGAGGGGGTAGGGCGTTTGCCTTGCATGTGGTCAACACAGATTCGATTCCCAGCATCCCATATGATCCCCCATGAGTGCATGAGCCAGGAGTAAGCCCTGAGCATTGCCAGGTGTGACCCAGAAAAAGCAAAATAATAATAATAATAATAACAAATAGTAGACAGCTGTAGACAGCTTATGATAGACTACCATCACAGTTCATATGCTTGTCTCTAGAAATTCCAAAATATCACGTTCTAATACTGACTCCTCTATAGTGATCTTTTATTTATTTAAATGTATGTTTTATTTTAATTTAAATTATTTTTAGGTTGGGGACTACACTTGGGTGTGTTCAGAGGTTACTCCTGACTCTGAGCTTCGAAATCACTCCTAACATCCTGTACTATCACTCTGGACCTTAGACTGCTTTTTTCCTTTTTTTTTTTTTTTTTTTTTTTTAGTGTTTTGGGCCACACCTGGTGGTTCTCAGGGGTTACTCCTGGTTCCGCACTCAGGAATCACTCCTGGTAGTACCTGGGAGACCAAATGGGATGCTGGGGATCAAACCCAGGTCAGCCTCTGCAAGGCTTTTCCTGCTATACTTCCTGCTTGCTCTGGCCTCAAGACTCTAGAAAGATCTTTTAAAACACATATTTAACATCTTAAATATGTAGGAAGATTCAGGTTGTTTTTTTATACCTTACATTTCAACCTTTGTGTCTTCTCACCTAAATTTCAATGCTTCAGTTGTACTGAACAATTAAATTCCCCAATAGCAAGTCTTTTCCCCTCTTTCCACTTATTTCTTGCCATTTTATCTAGCCAATTCCTACATATGTTGACTCATTTTTGCAATCATGTTGCAATCATGTTGACTCCTTATCAAGAGCTAATGAGATGGAGGGTGTATTTAAAACCATTGCACTTTAACCTTATGAATGGTAACCATTGTTTACTGCAAACTACTGGATTGGAGGGAGGATCATTTTAGTCTGAGCCTCCATTGCCTTGTGATATATCTACTGAAGATTGGATAATAAAGAGCAGGCTCACCATGAATTCACTTTGGAGTAAGTGTGAACTTGCCACGACATCCCGCAGCTGTGACTTTGTGAGAATGCGGCTGGCTGATTGCAGATACTCCATTGCTACCTTCTCCCGTGGAGTTGGGACAGCCACAAAGGGTTCAACATTTCCCAAGCTACTCATGTCCAGTGTTAGAGATACGTTGGACCCTCGTCTATATGGGAGAAGAATGGCATTAGTTTAAACACCACATGAGTAATATTGTCATTAAAAATCATCTTTTGCTATAAACCAACCATTCAGTGAGAAGTTTGACAGAAATAAGAACCAAATGTCTTTTTCTCTTGTGGTACCATAATTGACTATATTACTATCCATAGCTGGATTTTTTTTCTTTTGAGAGTTTGAAAAAATAGTTTAATAAGGAATATCCTTGTTACTGAAACAATAGGATAACTAATAACAAATGAAAATTAAGAAAAAGTAATTATACTTTAATTGAGAAACCAGATGTGACATAAACCAACTATATATGTAGACCTGGAAGTCTAGAATAAAAGTCATATAGTCATCTAATATTTTTGCATTCATGATATTTTCTGACACATGATGCTCAAAGGAAAAATTAACTATCTTGTCTAATTATTGACACCAAAAGACAGTTTTATATTATGTATTATTTACAACTTCTGGGTCAATTTCAAAAACTAGCTTTCAAATACACCATATATGTGCATATATTATGTTTGTGTATATATATATATTTACACAGGTTTGTGTTTAATGTTAAATTCTGTCTGGACTATGGAGATGATACAATTTATATTTTCTCCTGTAGTTTCCTTCCTTTTGTTTGGAGGTAGGGGCTGGGAGTGCCTATTCCAACTCATAAAGTTTCAATGTCCTGAACAGAAGGTGTATGTGCTTTCAACTAAAAACATTAGTTATATTGAATCAGGGAGTAATAATAAAGGCATCTGTGAGATAGAGGATAAAAGGCAGAGACTATAGTCACAGAATTATTAAGTTTATAAGGGTCTTAAATCAGTCTTAGGCAATCAAATATGGTACCAGGTGGTTGGTAACCCAAGAAAATAAATAGCAGGTCAAAACAAATGTGAGCACAAATAGTCAAAATAAATACCACACCCTGCAAATTATTTATTATGAATACCATCTTACATATATATTAAGAGATCACATCAGGATACTGTCAAATGACTAGAGCTTAATTATTAGAATAAACAACAACAAATATCATTATCGACATATTCTGTCACTGATTGCAGCTTTGGTTCCATTCTATAGTTTGATGTGTAATATCATAATTTTTGTTAATTTCTAAATGGCTTGTAATTGTAGTTTAATTCTTGCTTTAACATGATGGTAATTTAAGTGCTTGCCCATTTTTTTTCTTTATTTAACTTTTAGTTATAGTACATGGAAATCAGAGAATGGCTGAAGTTACTAATGTTTGAAATATATTTTTCTGCAACATATTTAATGATAATTTTCCTAAGTATATTACAGCTGATTTGCTAGCAGCTAGTCTAATTCTTCATATTTATTAATATATGTGCATATTTGGTGATATATAGTGATATAATTATTAAGTGATAGATTGTATTTTTATATTGTTAGATATTAGAGAAATTTTCATAAAATTTTCCTTATTTTTTTCTGCTGTATTTATCAGAATCTGTGATAAATATGTGAGTCTTCAATAATTGTTTTGCTATTTTTTTCTTATATCTGCAACTTTTTTTTTTTTTTTTGCTTTTTGGGTCACACCTGGTGGTGCTCAGGAGTTACTTCTGGCTCAGCACTCAGGAATTACTCCTGGAAGTGCTTGGGGAACCATATGGGATGCCGGGGATTGAACTCAGGTCAGCTGTGTGCAAGGCAAATGCCCTCCCTGCTGGCTATACTATTGCACCGGCCCCCTGCAACATATTTTCGGTGCTGGTTGGGTGGGGGGGGGGGCTTCTAAACTCAGGAGCCTCTGGGGGTCACTCCCAGCCGAACTCGACCAATCAGGTTTAGTTCAATGCTAGAGTCTGAGGATATAGAGTTGCTTGGACTCCCCAGGGGACCTATGGGTTACCCCTAGATGTTCAGAGTCTCTAGGGCCACAGAGACAGTGCCTGGAAACCATGTGGGTTCAAACTTGCCGAGTGAGCTCCCTGGATCCAAGGTTATATATTTTATAAAAGTTTTTACTAAATACGTTTAGACCACAATGTTATTTGAAGAGATTAATATCTTTACCTTCCCTGTATGTTTTATCTATAGTAAATACTTCCCTATTAATTACATCTGGCTTTATATCTGACATTTAAAAAGATGTGATATAATTATGATTTTTTAATATTCTTATAATAACTTCTACATGATCAGAGAAACTTCTCTAGTAACATACTATAGAAATGATCCCTGAAAGTATAGCCCGGCAAGCTACGGAGAGGATTCGATATGCCAGACACAGTAACAACAAAGTCTCCAATGGAGACGTTACTGGGCCCGCTCGAGCAAATCGACGATCAACGGGAGGGCCTTTACCTTTTTACCTTTACCTTTATAATAACTTCTAACTCTTTGGGATCAGTGTATGAGGCATTAGAGTGTGATGTTATTATTATTATTATTATTATTAATTTAATTTAATGGATCTATCACATCTTACACAAGGACAATGAAGAAGATTATCCATGACTTCTACTCGAATCTCTTCGATAGCCATGTCCACCTACCCACATACTAAATCCCGCAGAATGGATATGTCGTTCCCAACGTTCTCCCTTCCAAAATCCAACACGCCAATTCGTCAGTAAAGAAGCAAACAGCACCCGGCTCAGACAAGGTCAGACCCATAACACCTGAAGAATCTGCCGTCATCAATACACTGGCTTGGGTCTTCATACGCTACCTGTCTGAATGCAAGGTTTTGTCCCAATGGAAAACCAGCAGGACTTGCTTATAAATGGATAGACATGGAGAGTATCATGCTAAGTGAAATGAGTCAGAAAGAGAGGGACAGACATAGAAAGACTGCACTCAGTTGTGGAGTATAAAACAACATAACATGAGTCTGACACCTAAGGATAGTAGATATACAGAACAGATAGATTGCTCCATAGCTAGAAGCCTGTCTCATGAGCAAAGGGGAGAAGACAGCTGGAATAGAGAAGGGATCACTAAGATAAAGATAGTAAAGTAAAGTAAAGGCCCTCCCGTTGATCATCGATTTGCTCGAGCGGGCCCAGTAACGTCTCCATTGGAGACTTTGTTGTTACTGTGTCTGGAATCGGTCAGGATGAGAGATGAGTGCAGAAAGTAGATAAAGGACTAAACATGATAACCTCTCAGGATCTGTATTGCAAACCATAATGCCCCAAAATAGAGAGATTATGGGGAATCATGTCTGCCATGGAGACAGGGGGAGAATTGGAGAGGGGGCATATACCGGGGATATTGGTGGTGGGGAATGTGCACTGGTAGAGGGATGGGTGTTTGATCATTGTATGATTGTAACCCAAACATTAAAGCTTGTAACTATCTCACGGTGATTCAATACAATTTAAAAAGAAATAAAAAGAAAACAAGCAGGACCATTCTGCTGTACAAGAAGAGAGATATCCACAACATCGGCAACAATTCGATCTGCCTGTTGTCTGTCATCTACAAGCTGTTCACAATAGTCATCCTGAAAAGGACTGGCAGAACACCAGACGAAGAACAAGCATGTGAGCAAGCCGGGTTCTGAAAAGGATTCAGCACGATAGACCATATACACACGGTGACCAAGCTCATTGAGGTTTCTTGGGAGTTCAAGATGCCGCTGTCTAATGTTTATCAATTTAGAGAAGGCCGTTGATTCTGTTGAGACTGAAGTGGTCATCAAAGCCCTATCCAAACAGGGTGTTCAAACTCAATACAACAAGATCGTCCGTGAGCTGTATTATGGATTCACCACCAGGATCTCACCATTCTATAAGGAAGTGATCATTGGCGTAAAGAGAGGGGTTTGGCAAGATGATACCATTTCACCGAAACTCTTCAGTGCCACCTTTGAGAACGTCATAGGAAGACTGGAATGGGAAGGAATGGGAGTGAAGATAGACGATCACCAACTACACCACCTCCACTTTGCTGATAACATCGTTCTAATAACACCAAACATTAGCCAAGCAGCACGAATGCTGGCCAACTTCGACCGTGAGTGTGGAAAGGTTGGACTGCAGCTGAATCTCACGAAGACAATGTTCATAAAAAACTAGTTCCTGACATTCCATTTGCTCTCAATGGAATGACAACCTCCAAATGCAAGTTACGTGTGCCTTGGTCAAGAAGTCAACATGACGAATGACCTGGCACCTGAGTTGCACAGGAGGAAGAGAGCGGCTTGGAACGCCTTCAAGAGCATCGAAGAAGTTGTTAAGAGGGAGAAGAAACTCCGGCTCTGGGCACATCTCTTCGACTCCACCATTCTCCCTGCACTAACATATGCCTCAGAGACCTGGGCCCTATGAAAACAGGATGAGATTGCTATTCGGGTATCCCAAAGGGGAATCAAAATATCTATGCTTGGAGTATCATGCTTCACTCAAGTGAGAGAAAGAATCTGGAGTTTTGACCTCTGTCGATGATCGAGAATCAGGGACGCTGTCTCATTTGCCAAGCAGTCAAAAATCAGATGGGCTGGACATGTAATGTGATTTGAAGACGATGGCTGGACTAGAGCCGTTACCGACTGGATTCCATGGGACTTCAAAAGAATGCGTGGCCTCCCACTACAAGATGGTCAGACTTCTTCGTCAAGACCCTGAATGAATGGTTTGAGGTTCTTTATGTTCCTGGAGCGAGCAGATGCCATTGGGCTACATTAGTACGAGACAGGGTCAAATGGAGACGTTACGGGTGCCTGCTCGAGCAAATCGATGACTAACGAGATGTCAAATGATCAAGTGATAATAATAATAAACTTAATATTGTTATGACATCACTATAACATTATTATTATGATAATATTCTAAGTATCACCAGTGTGATAGAGGGGATATGAATCGCCTTCACTCTGTGTGTGTGTATGTGTATGTGTGTGTGTGTGTGTGTGTGTGTGTGTGTGTGGTTGATAGTGATGGACAGTGTTTCTGAGTAGGAGGTCAACAGTTGAGGAGGAGTAAAGAGTGATTTTTAAATGGGCAAAAATCTTTA